ATTCGATTTGGAAGAGATACAGCCCGATTTGGTGGCTAAATCTCCGAATCCGAATCGAATCAGGGGACCAATTAAAAGGTCCAAATTAATTCAAAGCTCTCCAAATCTTCGTAAAGATTCAGAGAGCGTTGGTGATTTAAGCAGTCCCTGGTGGCCCTGGTGCTCACCGGGTGCTGCCAGGCAGGGGGGTGATCCTTGCTGCCCCCCACTGCTCCACGCTGCATGGGGGCTCTGCATGAGCCCCCCAACCCCGCTTCACTCCCGCTGCCCCACCATGAGTGCTCTGCCCACCTTAGCTCCGGTCCGTTAAAGAAAAAAAAAGCCGAGAAAAGCCTCAGGACTCACTGTTCCTACAGCAGCCTCGGAGCTTTGGGGGGGTTCATGCAGAGCCCCCCATGTGGCACAGGGCAGCGGGGATCGCCCCCTACCAGACAGGAACCATGCATCCGGGGGTTTTCTCTCTTTTTTTTTTTTTTTTTTAAAGGGCCAGAGCTGCACGGGCCGGGTGGGGGCTGAGGGATCAGGGAGGGTCAGGGGGCTTGTGCAGAGCCCCCCACGCAGCATGGGGCAGTGGGGATCCTCCTGCCCCTGACAGCACCCGCTGAGTTGGGGCTTTTTTTTCCAAGTGTAGAGAGCTGGGGTGGGCGGGCAGCCATTGCCGGGCTGGGAGAGCGGGCGGGAGATGGGCCTGCCTGATTCAGAGTTTTGGCAGGAGCCGAATCGCTGAATCAGATTTGGCTGAATTCATTCGGTACAGTGATTCGAATCACCGAATCCAATCACTGTCCCCCAAATCAGCTGAATCTGATCCGAAGCAAATACTAGCAGCTTCGCACAGGCCTAGTAGGGATCCATTTTCCATAAAACAGCAACTTTACTTGCCAAAATATTTGTTAATTAAAATATGCACAGTATTGATATAGTTAAAAGGCAAGCTTCCAGAGTTCACAGATACAAACCCACAACAGAGAATGGGCAACACACTTCATAATCCCCAAACAGATAAATCAGACATAAAATGTTCTATTCCAATATTCCCTATTCTAAGAGTATATAGAATTCCAATATATTCTGAGGCAAGGAACCGAATGCTTAGGAGGTGCAAAATACTTAAGTGGAGCCATGCTGATTTACATCTGCCAAGGACCTGGCTTCTCAGTTGTTTCAAAATCATTACTGCAGATTTAATAAACAGCATATCCAAATGAAAAGGTGAGTTTTGCAACATGCCCTGAAAATTTGTTTTAATAAAGCTGAGCTCTGCTGGAGCAACAGGGGGAAGATGTTTCAGAGATAAGAATCCCCTCTTGAAAAATACCCCGCTGGTAGCATGCTAATAGCTCCCAGGCTTTCTGTAAACATGGCTTCCTGAGATGGCATTTATGATGCATGCATGGAATATTTGGGCAGGCAAAATTCCTAGACGGGCCAGTATGTCAGATAGCTTTTGAGATTTGTCACAGGGTATGGATGCTAGGGCTGTGTGAAGCTTCAGTCCCTGATTTGATTCAGCCCGATTCTGTGGCTGAACCTCCAAATCCGAATCGAATCAGAGGACCTTTTAATCTCTCCGAATCGATTCGGAAAGATTCGCAGATTTGGACATTGACACAGCTTTAAATGTTTTTTCTACATATCTCTAGGTAGCAGGAGCTCGTGAATGCTGAGATGCTGGGGCGCATGGCGCATCCCACAGGAGCGTGGGGGTGGGGCTTCCTAGCGCGCTCAGCAGCAGACCCAGAAGTGGACCAGAAGCCTGGTTCAGGGCCAGAGTCGGCCACCTGGCTCAGATCTGCAAGTACCAGCTGCCCCTGCCAGGGAGGATGGAGCCCACTCTACATGCCCCTGCTGCTGCCCTCTGCCTCACCACTGTCAGCCCAGAGCTGACCGAAAGGGAAGATGACTTGGCTATATTCATAGATGTTAGGGGCTGGAAGGGACCTCACAAGATCATCAGGTCCAGCCCCCCTGCACTTGGGCAGGAAAGACTGCTAGGGTCAGGTGACCCCAGAAAGGTGCGCATCTAGTCATTTTTTGAAGATCTCCAGGATAAATGATTGTACCACCTCTGTAGGGAGTCTGTTCCAGACCCTGGAAACTCGGATTATAAAGAAATTTTTCCTTATGTCCAATCTGAAGTGTTCTTCTAGCAGTTTGTGTCCACTGTTCCTTGTCTTCCCCCGGGGTGCCTTGGTGAACAAATGCTCCCCCAGGCCCTGATATACTTCTATACTTATAAGCTGCCACCAAGTCCCTTCTAAGTCTTCTCTTCTCCAGGCTAAACAGTCCCATGTCTTTTAGCCTCTCCTCACATGGCCTCCTCTCCAGACCTCTAATCATGTGCGTGGCCCTCCTTTGGACTCTCTCAAGCTTCTCCACAGCCTTTTTGAAGTGTGGCACCCAGAACTGGACACAGTACTCCAGCTGCAGTCTCACAAGAGCCGAGTAGAGTGGGAGGATGACATCCTTAGTCTTGCTTGACATGTATTGGTGGATGCATGCTAGTATTTTATTTGCTTTGCCAGCTACGGCATCGCATTGGTGGCTCATGTTCATTCTGTGGTCTCTCATGACCCCCAGGTCTCTTTCAGTTATGGTGCTGGCAAGTGTAGCACCGCCAAGCTTACAAGTGTGTTGCAGATTATTTCTCCCCAGATGGAGCACTTTCTCCGTGTTAAAGGTCGTCAGGTTTTGATCCGCCCTCTTTGGAAGCCTGTTCAGGTCAGCCTGTATCCCCAGTCTGTCCTCCAGCATGACCGCAGTCCCCCATAATTTGGTGTCATCCATGAACTTTGCCTGCATGCTTTTAACACCCAAATCCAAATCATTGATGAATATGTTGAAAAGCATTGGTCCAAGTATTGAACCCTAAGGAACGCCACTGGTCACCTTATGCCATGTCAACTCATTGATGATGAATGACGATGAAGATCCTGATGCCCCCTGCATCTGCCACCACATCTGAGCCTGGGCCACCAGTAAACACTGGTGGGAGCTCATAGTCCTCCCCACCTGGGATGCTGGATGCTGTGTGCAAACATTCAGAATGTCAAGGGGCACATTAATGCACCTGGTGACCCAGCTGGCTCGAAACATTGAGCAACAGGACACTGATGTGCCCAGCCCTTTGGTGTGGGGAAGTCCACCAATGGCTGTGCCATCTTGGATGTTTGTGGGGCCATCCAGGCTGGCCTAGCCACATGGGTCATCTGGCTGGCCAACGCCAGGAAGGTGGTGGTGGAGTTTGGGATCCTTGGGTTCCCCAGCTGTTCTGGGACTTTTGATGGGACCCACATCCTCATTTTCTGCCCCCCCAGGAAGGGCAGCAGTATGTCAACTGGCACGGTGCCCACTTGGTGGTGCTTGAAGCAGTCATAGAACATCACGGCCACTTCACGCATGTTAACACCAGGTGGGCCCATGACACACGCATGCTGCAACACTTCCCACTCCAAGGACTGAGGCATGGACCTTTGCCCCAGGGATCCAGGACCAGATCATCGGGGATGTTGCCATCCCACCAGTGATCATGGTGGATGCTGCGTACCTGCTCCTTCCTAGCTGATGCGCCCCTTCCTGGGGCACCTGGATGCTCGGCAGCAGCGCTACAATGAGGCAGTCACCTGCTGCCAGTGCACTGTTGAGTGGTCATTTGGCCAGCTGAAGGGGCACTGGCAGAGCCTTGCCATCTGCCTGGAGGCAGTGCTGCAGCACATACCCCACATCATCGCTGCAGTTTATGTCCTTCGTAATGTGCAAAGGACCCAGGGAGAAATCTTTGAGCCCAAGTGGATGGAGGAGGCTTGCCGTGTATCACACAACACATCCAGTTACAGCAGCAGCAGAGCTGACCAGTTCGGAACAGTGTCGCAGATGAAGATCACCCCCTCCGATGGTGGCACATAGGAGTCAGAGTGAATGAGGCCATCACTGCCTATCTTCAGGACCACCCCCCAAGTCGGGCACCAGCCTTCTCACTGCCTATGCCAGGCCACCTGCCATGGGGCCTCCATCCCCACCCACTGCCAGGACTGCAACAGCATAGGCAGTGTGGCTGTTGTGAAAACAAAATCAACTTTCTTTGTATTCCCCCTCCCCAAAACTTCCCCAACACCAAAAGCTCAACACTGCAACAGTATCCCACACGAGACCCTCCACAACCCCACCATCATTCATCCAGTTGTCCCCTGTGCACAAACCCAGAAATACACTGCAACTATTTACCCAAGAACAAGGGGGAAAAGAGAGTCTTTAGGGGCAGGGGTAACACCAGGGGAGGAGGCCCCTTAGACCTGGGCCTGGTCTCGGTTCTGTATGCCACCACCCTTTGTGCAGATGCCATGCCGTTGTGGCCAGGGCCCCAGCTGCTCTGGTGAGGAGGGTGTGCACTCTTCCTCAGAGGCAGACACTACAGTTAGGCCTGGGACAGGGAAGCAGGAACAGCACTCCTCCCTCCTCTCCTGACCCCCACTTCTCTGCTGTGCAGGCCCAGCCTTTCCAGCAGAACAGCCTCCCCCCCTTGCCAAAACTCCCAGCTGGATGGAGCTGGTCCCGGCCAGGAGGGCAGGGGGGAGGTGGTAGTGTCACCAGGGCTGTGCCTGTCAGGCTGCAGCTCTGCACCTACTGGAGCTAGTGACTGAGGGTCCAGGGGCTGTAGAGCAATGCATCTATCCTGGTAACAGGAGAAGCTGGGCACTGCAGGCTGGGCTAGCTGTAACGCTTGTCCCTTCCAGGTGGGGCCATGCGGAGGCCATGGGCAAGGTGGGGGCCCCCTTTGGGCAGCAGGCCACCCAAGCACACACTGGGAGGGGACAGGCAACCCCAGGATGGCCATGGTCCTTGTCAGGGTGCCAGCCCCACATTGCTCTGACTTGGGGGCCATCTCCCTGGCCCTGCACCCAAGCGTGAGGCTACTCCCTGGGGACCCTAGCCAAGGCCTGTTCGTGCCCCATGCCATGGTTCTGTAGCTGAAGATGGCCCTCCATTTCCTCTCTCTACAGACAGCCCGTCTGCCAGGGGAGAGGCCACTGTCCAGCGCCTAGCAGCTGCCCGGCCACTCTCAGGCACTCTAGGGGCCATCCGGATGCGCCACCTACACCGGGCGCAACGCACGCGGCGGGACGGCATCCAGGAGGAGCTGCTCCGGGCAGAGCGGGCACACCTCCGGGAGGCCCGGGAATACCGCCAGCGGGTCCTGGCTGAGTTCCGCCGCTCCCGCCATGACCAGGCACTTTTCCTGGAGGAGGTGCGGGCCGGGAGGGTGGCACTGCAACAGCTTTTGGCAAAGATAATGGAGGAGCGGCAGCTGGCCCAAGACAGCTACGAGGAGCTGAGGCAACTGCAGGCCTCCATCAACACTGCCATTCAGGAGAAGCTCAGGGTGTCGCAGCAGCTCCTAGCCGCCATCCCCACCCTGACAGCTCATACTGCTGTGCCGCAGCCCATGCCAGCCCCAGTATTGGCTCCTGGACCCCCTGACCAGCCCACGTTCCCATCACCAGGGGCAGGTCCCAGCTGGGAGCATTTTGCCGGGCTGGTGGCTCAGGTGGTACCCCAGCAGCCCCCACAGGCCTGCCACAGCCATCGAGAGGTACCGCTCCTGCCTCCCCGCTTCCTGGTCCCGGGCGTAGCTGCAGCATATGCCTCTGAGGAGGAGCACCCGCTGCCTTCTCCAGAGCAGCCAGGGCCCCAGCCACGACAGCATGGCCTCCGCACACGGGGTGGTGGCACACAGGGCCACGGCTAGGCTCAGGGCTGAGGGGTTGCCAATCTCTGATTCCCTCCTCCCTGTGCCTCCTCCCCTGGTGTTACCTCTGCCCCTAAGGACTGTCTCTTTCCCCCTGGTTCTTATGTAAGTAGTTACAGTGTACTTCTGGCTTTGAATGGTTTTGTGCAGGGGGGGTGGTGGGACTGGGTGAATGGTAGTGGGGTTGTGGAGGGTCTTGTTTTGGGTATTGTTGCAATGCTGAGCTGTTGGTGTTGGAGAAGTTTTGGGGAGAGGGAGGGGAAATAAAGTTGATTTTGTTTTCACAAGAGCCACACTGCCTATGTTGTTGCAGTCCTGATAGTGGGCGGGGATCCTGGACCCCCTGACCAGCCCACGTTCCCATCACCAGGGGCAGGTCCCAGCTGGGAGCATTTTGCCGGGCTGGTGGCTCAGGTGGTACCCCAGCAGCCCCCACAGGCCTGCCACAGCCATCGAGAGGTACCGCTCCTGCCTCCCCGCTTCCTGGTCCCGGGCGTAGCTGCAGCATATGCCTCTGAGGAGGAGCACCCGCTGCCTTCTCCAGAGCAGCCAGGGCCCCAGCCACGACAGCATGGCCTCCGCACACGGGGTGGTGGCACACAGGGCCACGGCTAGGCTCAGGGCTGAGGGGTTGCCAATCTCTGATTCCCTCCTCCCTGTGCCTCCTCCCCTGGTGTTACCTCTGCCCCTAAGGACTGTCTCTTTCCCCCTGGTTCTTATGTAAGTAGTTACAGTGTACTTCTGGCTTTGAATGGTTTTGTGCAGGGGGGGTGGTGGGACTGGGTGAATGGTAGTGGGGTTGTGGAGGGTCTTGTTTTGGGTATTGTTGCAATGCTGAGCTGTTGGTGTTGGAGAAGTTTTGGGGAGAGGGAGGGGAAATAAAGTTGATTTTGTTTTCACAAGAGCCACACTGCCTATGTTGTTGCAGTCCTGATAGTGGGCGGGGATGGAGGCCCCTGGGTGGGTGGCCTGGCATAGGCTGTGAGAAGGCGAGTGCCCTACTGGGTTGGGGGGTAGGTCAGCAGATGGGTGGTGATGGCCTCACACACTCTGGGTCCTGCATGCCGCCATCAGAAGGGGTGGTCTTTGCCTGCAACACTGTTCCTGGCTGGTCGGCTCTGCTGCTCCTGTCACTGGATGTGCTGAGATACATAGCAAGCTTCTCCATCCACTGGGAGGATGGGGAACCCAAGGGCTCCAAACCGCCACCTCTCTGGGGTCGACCACCGGATGACCTGGTTAGCCAGGCTGTCCTGGATGGCCCCACAAATATCCAGGATGGCCAAGCAAGCACTAGACTTCTCCACTACAAACTGGTGGGCCACGTACCTGAGGCTGGCAGGCATGACCAGCTTTGGGATGGCTATGGCCATACATTTCTCCAGGGTGAGGACTGGGTGCATCATGGTGTCCTACTGCTTGATGTTTGGGGCCAGCTGGGCCACCCAGTGTCCATCCCAAGTGGACAGGACTGTGCTCCCACCAGTATTTACTTGTGGCCCAGGCCCAGATGTGGCAGCAGATGTTGGGAGGTGACGTCAGGATCTTCATCCTCCCCCTTGGTCAGGTCTGGGCTGGCAGTGGTGGGGCAGAGGGCAGCAGCAGGGGCCAGCAGGATGGGCTCCCTGGCAGAGGCAGCTGGTACTTGCAGACCTAAGCCAGGCAGTTGACTCTGACCTAAGGCCAGTCTCCCTGGGTGCAGTGGTGCTGCTGTGCCACAGCATGCTGGCAGCTGGTCCAGAGGTTCAGGCAGGTCTGCTGGAGTGTCCATACTTCAGCACAGGCAGCCGTGTGGTCCCTGTCTGGCTCTGGCAGGCATGCATCCATGGGGCCGCAGGTCCAAGGGGGTAGATGCTGTAGCAGGTGGCAGCAAGTCTCAGTATGGCAGCAGTGCCCACTGCCAGACTGCTGCAGTACAAGGACCGCTCTGCAGCAGCCCAGCTGGGACACGGGGCTAGTGTCACCAGATACCAACTAACCAGACCTAAGAAACTCCTGAGGGCAAGTTGCCTTGAGCTGCTCACCAGGCCACCTGCTTATATTGCTGGGGCCAGCACAGTTGTTGGCCCCAGGCTCCAGCTTCCCCTGGCTGAACAGCTAGGAGCTGCTGAGCAAGGGCAGTTGCCAAAAGTGGCACAATTTGTTGCAAAACAAAATGCACTCTGAGGCACAATTTACCAGCACAAATTTGTGCCACTACTGTTTGTGGCACTACAAGCGCATGCCCTTGCATATGTGGACATGTCCAGGATGTGCAAAAAACAGGCATAATGATTAGCCACAGGTAAAGTAGAGGGAAAAATCACAGTCAGTGTCCTGCAGCTGCTTTGTGGCACTGAGCAGCACTGATATCCTGGTGTCCTGCCCATGCCCTTGCCCCTCACTTCTGACCCACAGCCCCTGCCTGCCCATCATTTGCTCGCTCTTGGCAGCAGCTCCCTCCCTGGACCAGGACATGGGTCCAGCCTCAGCTCTCCCACCTGCAGCTTTGTGGCTCTGAGCAGTGCCAGCCCTTGCTCTTTTGCCCCCTACGCCTGTGCCCAGGCCCCAGCAATCTCCATGTCATTCCTGGGAAGCCCTTGATGGGCTCAGGGACTGGGCTGGGAAAGCCCCTTCCCTTCCATGCCGGCCTCCCCCTGCACAAGCTGCTCCAGGGGAGCAGGAGGGCTACAAACCCACCTCTGGCACCTGCTTCTACCCGCAACCCCTACACTCCCTGCACCTCTCTCTCACACCCTGCTGCCACCCCTGACCCATCACATACACGCATAGATCCCGCTGCCACCCACCTGGGCTGATGGTGCACAACTCCTGTGGCTCCCAGGCCACTTGCCATCAGGTTAGGCTGGCTCCATGCCTCCATGTGCAGCTCCCCGCTGGAGTGCTGGAAGCCCTACATGGAGGCACAGAGCGGGCCCAGCCCAATGGTGCGTGGCTCCCACCTGCAATGCCAAAAGCCCCATGTGCTGGCACAGGGCCAGCCCAGTTGGGGCCAAAGGCGCGGGCCAAGGACCCAGGCCAGCTTGGCCAGAGTTCAGCACCACCGGGGGGGTTCTGCCTGTAGAGGGCCCTGAGCGCCCTGTGCGCCTGCTGCTACTGCTGGTAGGGGCTGTGCGCCATGGGGGAGGGGGCCACATGGTCGCTCTCCCCACAAACCCCACACATGTGCAGCTCCCAAGACTCAGCCATAGCCATGTACTGCTAGGGAGCTTTGCCTGCCACTGGCCATGAGCGCCCCGAGGGCTTGCTGCCTGCTGCTGCATGCCATGCCCCACTTGTATTTTCTCCAGCACACTGAGGCAATGTGCTGGAGCAGCAGGGAGACACAGCAGCCATAGAGACATTCTGGCCACCTGCCAGAGTGTCTCCTCGGAGGACCAGCCTCCAGTGGCTTCTGGGCACTCTCCCGATGAGGAGGGGCATGACCACCACAGTGCCCAGCTAGAGGTCCAGTACCTCGGATGCAAAGCACTTACTCTTCACCAGGGCTGGCAGTGAGGAGTTCTGAAACGTGGGTGTCGTGGACACTGCCTGCCCAGCTGGTTCTCACGTTAGTGAAGGCACTATAGTAGTTGAGGATGGCCTAGAGCACAATGGAGTGGAAGCCCTGCCAGCTGTAGTAGGGGTGGTCACCATGGGGTGGGCAGGTGATGGGGATGTGGGTCCTGTCCAGGTCCCCAACGCACTGGGGGAATCCCAGGGCACAGAACCCCGTCACTACTTCCAGGGTGTCATGCACGCAGAGCATGGTGTGCCCCAGAATGTCCTGGAGGGTGCCACACACCTCCAGAATGGCCTCCTATAGTTGCCTTGCCCACGCTGAAGAGGTGGCCAACATAGTGGAGGTTGGCAGGCATGCCCAACTGCAATGGCAGCCGGATATCTGCAGGGAGGGGCTGCCACATGGTGGTGTCCTGCTCCCCCAGGTGCAAGCGGAGCTGCTCCAGGCTGTCCAGGAAGGAGGCTCAGGTCATGCGGAACACCTCTAGCCACTGCTCCTCATCCCAGGTGTGCTGGATAACGTGCAGCCACCAGTCCTAGCTAGCCTGGCAGGCCCAGAGGCGGCAGGGCTGGAGGGTAAGGATGGCCCTGGCTATGGTGTCCTGGAGCCCGTCATTGGTGTCCCTGCCGGGGTGTGGCCAGCAGAATGGGGTCCAGGTGGATGCTGCATGGAGGCAGCGGCCCTGGGAACCAGGCCGGTGGTCGCTGCATGTGGGGGAGCCGGCAGGGCCCAGACAGCTGTGGGCCAGCTGGCAGTGGGCCAACAAGAGCCATGGGCCCTGGGTGTCAGGGGCAGGGGCTGGAGCAGCTATGGCATGGGGAGGCAGAGGCTGCAGCAGGAGAGCTGCCAAGTGCTGCCCCCATGCTCTGCACACTGCTTCTGAACAGAAACACGGGAACAGGGAGCGGGGCTGGCTTTTAAAGATGGCCTCTGGCTGCAGGGGTGTATTGCAGGGCTCCAGGATGCAGAAGCAGTTTGTTGCTAGGAGCAGCAAATCTGCTCCTATGTCCCTGCATACATAGACTCCTGCCCAGGAGTGTTTACTCATGAGTAGTGTACTCGCAAGTAATCTGGTCCGGCATCAAATGCATGTGTAGACATTCCCCCAATATCCAATCTAAGCCTACTTTGCTTTATTTTCAAGCCATTGGTTCATGTCCTGCTCTCTGCAGCACAAGAGAAAAAGTGTTCTACCTCTTCTTTATGGCAGCCTTCCAGATATTGAAGACTACTATCATGTCCACTCTTACATATGAACAATCTGGGAATGATTCCAATACAGCGCAATAGCTCTAGCTTTTACACTGCTTCATCAAAGGTTAAAGTTAGAGCGGTTTTACTGCATTTGTATCACTCCCCGCTCCATATACAACTGTTAAAATATAACAGCTGCTGCCCACTCCTAATCTGCAACTTCTTTTTTGAAACAACTCCTGATGTATGTGTGTCCATAGCCATAGACTACTCAAACTGAAGCTTTTGGAGGAAGGATTATATTTTTGTTACGTGTTTGTAAAGCCCTTAGAATAGTGTAATCCTGGACCAGGAACAAGGCTTCTAGGTGTCATCACTGTGCAAATAATAAATAAGAGAGTAATAAGGACATTTTTTTTTTTTTTTTAGTAAAAAGAGCTTTTTACCAAAAGCTTCAATAGACAGATTGAATTCAATCACCCCATCCTAATTAATAAACTA